TAGGACATCAGTTTGGGCGTAAGTGGAACATACAGTGCATGGGTTGTCATGAGAAGAGTGGCAGGGAAGGTAGGTTAGGGCTGGGTTGTGAAGAACCTTACGTAGCACACACAGTCTGGGACTTCACAAGAAGGGGTTAGATTCCAGCAAGGGTTTTTAAGTAGGACAGATGTGATGAGAGTTTTATTTTAGAAAGATCATTCAGTGAGCAGCATGAAGGAGAAATGGGACGGGGGAAAGTCTTAGAAACGTAGTAGGAGTCCAGGTACAAGATGATGAGGGTCTGCACCAAAATCAGGCAGCAGGGAAGGGGAGAAAGGGAATGGTCAGAAACACCTATGACATTTCTAAGACTGGGCAACTGGACAGCGACCACTTCCTTGATTAAACATTGCAGACTGACCACATCTCTCCTGAAAGCCCACTGAGAAGACAGAAAAGGAATGAAACAGGCATAAACCCACAAACACAAAGAGAATGAGAGCGGAAAAATAAAAACAAGTCTTGGAAGATGGAAAGGTGACAGTGGTGACAGACTGAGCAGAGCAGAGGAGAATGAGCCCTAGGACCTCCAGAGCAGGTACTGATGGAGAGCAGCCCAGTTCATTCTGGCAGACCAGATTCAGGACCAGGAAGCACCACATTCTATCCAGTGGTAAAGTATAGGGGGCTGGTGGGAGGCCTATATTTGTTGTACACCAAGATGCTTTTCTCTGTCTATGAAGCCAAGTAACAACCCCTTCTGTTGCTCAATTCCCTCCCCAAGGGGACTTTCCTTTGAAAAAAATCAAGCCAGAGAGTACCCAAACGTGGCACAGCAGACACAGCAAAGAGTGGGAAAATGGAACTTGAAACCAGGAAATTAAATGAATATCTATACCCTAAACAGTGAGACACCTTTCCAACTCACTCATCTTACCCTGTTCCCAGAATACAAGTACCTATCTGTGTGTCCCTCGGGCAAGGGATTAAAGAACTCTCCTCTAGAGGAACACACTGAAGAGCCCAAGGGAAAAACCTCTAGATATTCACATTTGTGGATCCTCTAGTAAAAATGCTAGCCCATTCCTCCTTATTCTACAGCCAGGTGCCCCAATCAACAAGCCCTGCTAATGTACGCAGCTCTTCTAAACAGTTTTTTAGTACTTCACTTTAAAAAAAAATAGAGACAGAGCCTTACTCTGTCCCCAAGGCTGGAATACAGCAGCAGGATGATGGCTCATTGCAGCCTCAACTTCCCAGGTTCAAGTCATCCTCCCACCTCAGCCTCCTGAGTAGCTAGAATGACAGACATGTGCAATCACGCTTGGCTCAATTAAAGAAAAATTTTTGTAGACAGAGGGTCTCACTGTGTTGCCCAGGCTGGAGTGCAGCGATGTAATCACCACTCACTATAGCTTCAACTTCCCAGGCTCAAGCCATCTTCCCACCTCAGCCTTCCAAGTAGCTGAGAGTATGGGCATGTGCCACTATACCCCACTAACTTTTTACATTTTTTACAGAGACCAGATCTCACTATGTTGTCCAGGCTTGTCTTGAACTCCTGGGCTCAAACGTTCCTCCTGTCTCAGCCTCCCAAAGTGCTAGGATTACAGGTGTGAGCCACCATGTCCAGCCCCAGGAAGAAAATTTTAAAGGGGAAGATAAATAATACTATCATAGAGCTAAGATAAGCCATTGTACCCATAGAACAAAAATAGATAATGGTTAAATTGAAAAAAAGAAAGGTAAGGAAAAATTAGATTACAACCAGTTTTTAAATTTAGAAATTTAAAACTGGATAGTTGTGGCACAGACTGATAGTTGCTACCCTATCTCTCCTTCTTTCTTAGGAAAAAAAAGAAAACAACACATAATTTTATGTGAAGTAGCAATATGACCGGTTAAAAAACAATTTCTCAGCCTTCTTTGGCAGTTTGTTGTAATCACATGACTAAATTCCAACCAATGAAATATGAGACATGTGGAAAGGAACTTTTGAGGAAGCCTCCTCCAAATGACTCAGTTTAGAGGTTCGCCCTTTTGCCCTTTTGCCCTTCCCTTTTTTCCAGTGCCTGGAATATAAATGTAATGGGATGACCCCAGCAAGTACATGCTGGATCACAGGACAATCTACTAAGGATGATGGTAAAGCAAATGATAGAAGAGCATGGGTCACTTAGGACCATAGAGCTACCATGGCAGCCCTGGGCTGCCCACCTCTAGTTCCTTGTGAATACACTCGATGAAGTCGCTATTATTTTGTGTTTTTTACTATGCTCAGTCAAAACTAATCATGACTGATATAATCAACATTAAAAAAAATCATTAGAAGACTTGGGAGAGAAAATCTATGAAATATCCCAGAAAAAAACCAAACCAAACCAAAACAAATAAATGAACAATAGGAAAGAGAAAAGAAAATTGGAGAGCCATTTAAGAAGATACAAAATTGAGATGATAGAGCAGGGATGGGGGGATGGGGGTGGGGAATTATCAAAGAAAGACTATGTGAAAGCATGAATTTTCTAAGAAATTTCTTGTTTCCTGGATCTGACACACAAATGTGGTAACAAGAGGAATTCTAAGACAACAGCTTTGTAGCAGACCTAGCAAATGAACAATCTCGAGTGGAACAGAAGGATGGAGCCATAGGACAGACCAGGGAAAGAAGTGAATATATTTCTGAAGAATTGGGGCATTTGACAGATCTGCCAGAGCCTAAGAAAAATGATGACAGAAAATCAAGCAAAGGAAAAACTAAGGCAATTATTAACACCAGGAAACAGCAAAAGTTGAACAAAAAAGGAAATGTAATCATAGTGTAACATATGGCTCATAAATGAGCAATAGTTACCTAGTCATGATAACAAGAATACTAGCTTTTAATTTTAAAACAAACAAAACTGTGGGATAACTACACTGGGGGCATTAGATGAGGAGAAGTCAGAGTGGCATATAAGAATTAAATCCAGGCAGGGCGCAGTATCTCATGCCTCTAATCCCAGCACTTTGAGAGGCTGAGGTGGGCAGATCACTTGAGGTCAGGAGTTCGAGACCAGCCTGGCCAACACGGTGAACCCCATCTCTACTAAAAATACAAAAATTAGCTGGGTGTAGTGATGGGTGCCTGTAATCCCAGCTACTTGGGAGGCTGAGGCAGGAGAATCACTTGAACCTGGGAGGTGGAGGTTGCAGTGAGCTAAGATCGTACCAAATCCTCATTTACCATAAGAGGAAGTCCAAAGATGATGTTGGAAACTGACATATCAAGAAGCAGCAATGCAAATACATTATTTAGTAACAGATTAACTGAAGAAGCAAATTTTTGGTTCAAAGTAGGATTTTCTGGGAATGGGACTGGGAGAAGAGAAGAGTAAAAGGGGTGGTATAAAAGAGTAGTAACTACTGTTTCTGATTATGTGACTTTTAATATTATTTGGCTTATTAAATTATAGTTATTACATTGATTAAAATAAAATAAATTTAAATTTTTAATTAAAAGCTTCCCAGCAATTTAGAGGCAAAGAAGGAAAAACAGGTTTCCAAGAAGATGTAGGCCGGGCGTGGTGGCTCAAGCCTGTAATCGCAGCACTTTGGGAGGCTGAGGCGGGTGAATCACGTCAAGAGATCGAGACCATCCTGGTCAACAAGGTGAAACCCCGTCTCTACTAAAAATACAAAAATTAGCTGGGCACGGTGGTGCGCGCCTGTAGTTCCAGCTACTCAGAAGGCTGAGGCAGGAGAATTGCCTGAACCCAGGAGGCGGAGGCTGTGGTGAGCCGAGATCGCGCCATTGCACTCCAGCCTGGGTAGCAAGAGCGAAACTCCGTCTCAAAAAAAAAAAAAAAAGAAAATGTAAAACACTAGTTTTGGGGGATTTGTTTTGTTTTTGTTTTTGTTTTGAAATGGAGTTTCACTCTGTCACCCAGGCTGGAGTGCAGTGGCGTGATCTTGGCTCACTGCAACCTCTACCTCCCAGGTTCAGGCAATTCTACTGCCGCAGCCTCATGAGTAGCTGGGATTACAGGTACCTGCCGCCATGCCCGGCCAATTCTTTGTATTTTTAGTAGAGACAGCGTTTCACCATGTTGGTCAGGCTGGTCTCAAACTCCTGACCTCAAGTGATTCGCCCTCTTTGGCCTCCCAAAGTGCTAGGATTACAGGCGTGAGCCACCGCACCCAGCCAAAACACTAGCTTTTACATATCTCCTTCTGTGTTCCTCATCTCCTCCTCTTTGCCCACACCTGTGTGTTTATATCTCCAGGGGCAGCATAATGTAGAGGAAAGTACATGGGCCTCAAATACAGACAATACAATGCAGGGTGATGTCCAGCTGTGCAAAGAATCAGCTCAGAGTCTTCCCTGTGACCTCATGGGGACACAAGGTCTTCATTTGTAAGATTTAAAATGCTAATATCTATTATATTACACAAAGTAATAGACATAAAGCACCTGGAATATGGTAGGCTCTTGAAAATGTGAGTTCTCACTTTCAGAATTTCTCATGCCCTATATGCCTCTCTGTGAGTGTCTGTCTCTGTGTCTCTGTGTTTACAGATTTGAGAAAACAAAGCTTAAGCCACCTTCCCTCCATCCCCTCTTGCCTGGTTTGGGAGATTCATCTTCCATAAGGAAAACATTGTGTCCTTGACACATAGTTTATCACAACACACTTCCACTTCTCTTGTAAGGAGAGGTTGATTTTACTTGCATTGGCATTATACTTCAGTTCATTTTTGAGTGAAAGAGATTGATACCCAATTACTAGCTGTGGCTCCCAGGTCTAATACACAGGAGTAGATAAAAATCACTGTTTAAACTTAACTACGTATAACAGAGTAGAATTACAAATAATTCAGCTGATACCTGAATATAATGTTTTAAAATAAATACTGCAGAAAATTAACAAGGATTTTAAACCCAGCTATAACTGGTTTGTGATAACTGGGTAGGTAGGATAATCGGTGGTCATCCCCAAATAAGAGACCCCAGTGTGATGACAGAGCTCTCACCTTCTCCACTGGGCTCAGATTGGTTGCACAGCTCAGACACAGGTTGCTCTCCATATGTTCCCCCAGGCTGAGTCCCTTCACTCCCGGAAGTCTGCTTGTTCCAGCAGGACTCCCGCCCCTCCCAGGAGGCAGCGGACAACCCATCAGAGATCTCGGCAGGGAAAGAAGGAGGGGATTTGAGGTCCAAGAGGAAGCTATCTTGGAGGGTCTGCTTGGTTGCCTTCTTGCCTTTCCTCTTCTGATTCTCTGGGGTCCTGTTACTCTCTCCTTGCCTGGGCCGGCTACTCTCAAGCTTCCTGGTTAGCTGGAAGAGCTGATCCATGTCCTTGGTGAATTCCAGCAGTGTGCCCTCCAAGACACTTTGGGCAGGTCCCTCAGAGCCATAGTTGGGAGCTTTCTCTAAGAGCAGGTGCTCAGAGCAATGGAGGCCTTCCGGGCCCTCCCTGAGCACTGGCTCAGGCACTGGGGGCAGGCTACAGGAACTCATGGACAGGGAGAAGTAAGAGTAGTCCACTGCAACATATGTCAGCATGAAGTTGATGGTGACGATGGGGGCCAGAATGTTCACCTGACCCACAAGGACAAAGGCCATGGTCACCAAGCTGGTCAGGCAGATGGCAGCCACAGGTGTTTTGTTTGGTCCCTTCTGCAGCAACAAAAATAACATTCAGCACCATAAAATTTCAGATAGAACGCTTCAGAGATTTCAGAAGTTATAGGATAGAAACACCGCTCATAATGGCTCAGCCACTTCTCCCCAACTGGTTGTTCATCTATAAACTTGAGATAATAATATTCAACTCATGGGGTTACTGTGAGATCAGAGTTCATACATGTGAAATGCTTCACACACACTGACATGCAGTAGGCTTCACAGATATTAGTTGTATTAGTAACTTTATTTTTTTTTTTTTAGTCAGGGTCTGGCTCTGTTGCCCAGGCTGGACTGCAGTGGTGTGATCTCAGCTCACTGCAACCTCTGCCTCTTGGGCTTAAAGCCATCCTCCCACCTCAGCCTCCTGAGTAGCTGGGACTACAGATGCACAGCACCATATGTGGCTAATTTTTGTATTGTTTGTAGAGAAAGAGTTTTGCCATATTGCCCAGGCCAGTCACAAACTCCTGAGCTCAAGCAATCTGCCCACTTTGGTCTCTCAAAGTGTTGGGATTATAGGCATGAGCCACCGTGCCCAGCCTGTATGAATAACTGTGAACATTGGGCATTATTATAGAATGGTGACATCCCAAATATTTCCTCCTTTTGTCTTTCATTGGGTTTTAATACCAGCATAGAAAGTCAGAGATACAAAGTTGATTCTTCCCAGGAAGAGGCAGATTCCGGAAGACACAGCAGAATCACTGGTGGCTGGAGGAGGGGAACTCTGACACTAAACATGCACACATGCTCATGCACACACATTACACACGCCTGTTATTCATGGAGGTGGCTATGGTGACCTTCAGGTGGACAGGAGTGGAAAAAAGGTGCTAGCTGCCACTCCCAGGAGCTCTTCATCACAGTCACTGACATAGTTCTTGGACCAAAAGCAACAGTCACTTCAGTCCCTGTGTTCTTTGACCCAGCTGGCAACTCCCTCCTCTTTGAAACCCTTTATTCGCCTCACTTCTCCTGATTCACGTCCCTCTTCACTGACCGCTTTTCCTTGGTTTCTGCGGCTGGCTCTTCACATCTCTGAATTCCACAGTTAAAGCAGCCCTGGGCTCCATCCTCAGACCTCTTCTCTATCTGTACTCCCTCCCTTGGTGAGCTCAACGAGGCTCATGGCTTTGAATACCGGCGTTATACTGACGACTTCCAAATTTGAATCTCCAGCCTAAAACATTCACCTGAAAGCCAGTCTTACATATCCACCTGCCTACTCACCATTTCCAGTGGATGTCTAATAGGATCTCAAACTATGTCCAAAACAAAACTGTATTTTTGGAGGAAGGTAAAGGAAGAAATCAAAGATAAGTTCCAACGATGTGTTCCCGAAACCGGAGGGAGGCTGCAAACTGGAAGTGGATGGGGAGGCCCTCAGTGGTACCCCAACAAGACAAAAATAAACTGCAGCTTGCAAACCATATTATTGGGAAGTGGGGGTCTCTGTTTATGTCTCTTTGGTCCTCCCCTAGGCTATAGGAATGTCTATTTTAATCATTCCAGCCATGACTCAACTGAGCTGTCCTTTATGTATCAGTTAAGGTTTGGTTTGCCATGGTTAACAGGAACCCTAGAGGCCAGAGGTATGAGAAATCATCAAACAGCAACCCCCAAGGGGCAGGTGAGCTTCGAGGGCAGTTAGAGCTGCAAGAACCAGCTCACCTCCTGACCAAAACATGCTTTCTTCTATGCTAAACCTGGAGGATTGGAATTCATTTTTATTAAAGGATGGGGCACTGCATTTTTATGCTGCTCAGGGTCGAAGATGTTACTGGGACTGGTTAGCTAAACCAGTGCGCAGTGGCACAGTGGCTCTTGCCTGTAATCCCAGCACTTTGAGAGGCCGAGGTGGGCAGATCACAAGATCGGGAGTTCAAGACCAGCCTGACCAACATGGAGAAACCACGTCTCTACTAAAAATACAAAATTAGCCGGGCATGGTGGCCCATGCCTGTAATCCCAGCTACTCAGGAGGCTGAGGCAGAAGAATCACTTGAACCCCGGAGGTGGAGGTTGCAGTGAGCCAAGATCGTGCCACTGCACTTCAGCCTGGGTGACAGAATGAGACTCTGTCTCAAAAAAAAAAAAAAAAAGCGCTAAGTGGGCTAAAGGGCTGGGTGGCTGTGACATTTAAGATGCTTCATCTACTTGGCCCTAACCTAAGCCAGCCAGAGGAAAGGGCTGAAAGAAATGACCTCTGCATTCTTTTCTGTGTCACCCCAAAGAAATTGATCAGAGGCTCAGATCAGAAAAGCTTAACCAATTATGAGCCAACAATCAAGTTAGCAGCAAAACATGTTTCTCAAAAAAAAAAAAAAAAAAAAGAGGATGACTCACCCCTTGTCCCAGACAGGCAAGTGCAGGGATCACTTTCTCCTGAGCAATGCATTGCAGGATGCGGGGAGCTCCATAAAGTCCTCCCATACAGGAAGCCAGGGATGAGATGTATAAGCCCAAAAGGAACAGGAAGCCCACGAGGGATACCTGTGTGAGAAGTGGTTTTATTAGCCAGTGCCAGAGCCTGTTCCTGTGGCTTTCTACTCCCCCAGCACCCACCCACCTGCACCCCATGCAATCATCCACTGAGTCCTCTAGATCCGATCTCTGGGATACAGTTTCCACATTCCCAGCCTCACCCCCATTCATTCCATGACTTCAGCTGAATCGACAACATTTCATATGGACTGTGCAGTGGTTCTCAAATGAAGTGTCTGCCAGACTCAGCTGCAGGGCTTGCTAAACACAAATTTCTGGGACCCTCCTAAGAGTTTCTGGTTCAGTAGACTTGGGGTGGGGCCTGGAAATTTGGATTCCCCACGTGTTCCCAGAGACCACACTTTGAGAACAAACTGGCCAACTACAATGCTCATTGGCCTCTTGCCTTAATAAGCTCACCCTTAAAGATGAGCTTAAATCATTCAGATGATTCACTCTGAATCATCCGATAAGCCTCTGCGGGAGTGACCTCTCTGAACTCAAATCTGATCACACTGTCTCCATTGCAGACCTATCAAAGGCTCCCCCTGCCCTGACATGTAAGGCTCTTCATGGTCTGTGATCTCTTTAGCCTCACACCCTGCATACTAAGAGTCTAATCAGCATGATTTTTCTGCCTATAAGAAGGCTCTGTCCATACCCACTAATCTACTCATTGTCTGTTAAACTCCTAATGTGCTTCAAAATTCAGCACAAACCTCACCACCACTGTGAGGCCATCCCCAGCTCCCCTGACTACAGTAGCCACTTCTCAGTGCTCCACAGCATCCCAAATGTGATGTTACGACAGCACCTATCATGGTGCCCCCTCCACTAATCTGGAGGCTTCCTTTAAGCAGGTCTTCTGTCTTGTTTACCCTAGAATTCTTGGTGCCCAAAACAGAAAAATAAATGCTGAATGAATGAATGATATCCATGATCCACAAGGCACCAACAGATAGAATAACAGGGCACAGCTGTTCTTGGTGCCAACTTGCAAAAGATCAGGGTCCAAGGTCTTACTAGGACTGGTCAGCTAACCCAGTGCTAAAAGTGCTAAGGGGCTGGGGGGCTGCATGGCTGCTTGCCACAAATTCACCCTTCTGGGCCAGAACTCATCTGTACCCACAAGGAAGCAGCTTTGTTTTCTTATTTGAGGTGCCCTCTCCATTCTACTTTACTTTAGGCACAGGGGCCAGAACTATACATTCCATGTACTCATGTGTCCAGTGCTTACAGACAGGTTAGATTTAACATTCAGCTTTGTCACCTGAACCCTTCTTGAGGAAGGCTCTCCTCGCCTCATCTTTTACTTCCTTGCATCAGCAAAGCACTGGATTCGTGTCATCAAGCGACACTGAACACAAGCCGCTGGCTAGACCTCTCTCCTGGCTCATAAATTATCACTGGAACAATTTGACTGACTGATGAATCTCACATCAGTCAGGACAGCTGATTGGGAAAAAAAAAAAAACTTTGCTTAAAAAAGAATATATTTGTAGGATGGTGAAGGTTCATAGAATCATAAGGAAACTAAAGGATGAGCCTCAGAAAAGGGCAGGACGAAGTCTGGAGGCATACCCAGCCTCTTCCCCAGGAACAGCTTGGCCAAGACACCGCCAGCACCCCAGCTGCCCTGTGGACGAATTCTCACCAGCTCTTCACCTCTGCCTCATTGGTCACAAAGTGAGCACGCAATGGCCTCGTGTAGGTCATGTGCACTACCAGGGCTGCAAAGGGGCAAGCAAGAGAGGTCTGGTCCACTGGGCTTCTATTATGCAACATGGGGGGTACTCACTCCCTTCAAGATCATTGGGTGGAATAATCCCCACATGGTCAGGAAGGTCAGAGGCTTGATGGACAAGAATAAGGTCCACTATGGAGCCCACCTTGTCTTTAATTCAGTGTTGATTGCTTTCCCCTAACTTTATCATCTCACTCTTATCCCCAAAGAATCTCACCTGTCTCTTTTTTCCATGTCACAGGTTTCTTGGATTTGTCCTGTCCACCCCACTCATCGTTTTGTTACTACAAGAAATCAATGTTGTCTAGTGTTTCCATCACTTTACATGATCTGATGGCATTTTGTTACTTTCTGTCCTGTGGGATAGTTAGTTATGCTCATGGCTTATCCTGCCAGCACCCTAAGCACCTCACGGATAGAACTGTATCATGCATCCTGGCTCCCTTCCTCTAGCACCTCATGCAGAATCTGGCAAACAGAACTCAGCAGCTGAGTCCATGCAGCTTCAGGTCTTCGCTGTGATCATGCCCCAGGGGCCTTACAAAACTGTAAGATACACTGGGTCCATGATTAATCTTCAATCCATTCTGAGATATGTATCTATTACCTTTATTTCTGTCTTCTCTACCAAGTGCATCCTATGTTGACTGGTTTTTAAAAAGTAGATTCTATGACAAAATTTTAATAAGAAAGAGCCTTTTGAAAATTTAAGTCAGTAGTTCTCCACTCTGGCTAAATGTAAGAATCACCCAGAAATTCTGATTTAATTAGTAGAGAGTGAGACACAGACGTGGTTGATGTTTAGAAAGCTGTCCAGGTGATTCAAATGTATAGCAGATGTGGCGAACCACTGGGCATATATTGTGTTCTCCCCTCAAAAAATTCTTTGGGAGAGTCAGGCAAGGTAGCTCCTTGCAGAAATTTCACTGCTTCTTACCTAAAAGATTACATATGTTTGATTTTTTAAAAACTTTTTCATTTAAAGTCTATTTACTCAGAGCAGGAATGAGTGGAAATGCCCCAGACTGGCATCCTCCTAATGCTGGACTGACCTCAGGAACTGGGCACCATCAGTATACGATACGGTGGCTTCCGTCTTTGACCAGCCTTCCCAGAGATACACCCTGGGATTCCTCCAGAACTCTAGAGGCTGGGGTCAGACAGGGCCAGGTATAGCAACTGGTTTATGTCCCATTTGTCAATTATGTAACATGATCTGTTCACTCACCACTTTTTAAAAATATAAACTATTGTGTGAATCCTTCGATAGCTCAGTTGGTAGAGCGGAGGACTGTAAAAATATAAACTATTATTCAGTCTGTTTGCTGAATAATATATGAAATGTTTGTCCCCGCATCTAGACAAATTATAAAAACTTCATTCCATCTCTCTCCTGCCTAAATCCTGTATCTTTCTTTCATTTGTCATCCATCCATCCATCCATTTAAGAAGCATTTCCTGAGGACAGGTTATGTTCCTGGCATGGTGCTAGGCAGAGCAAGGCTTATAGACACAATGGCAAACCATGTGGGTCTGCTCCCAGCCCTCACAGAACTTAATTGTTTTCTCTGCTCATATCAGACTGAAAACTTGTGAAATGTGCCAATGGAGGTAGAAGTGAGAATTTATTTGAGAAGAGGTGTGTCAACAGTTCTTTTTAAATAAAAAGTGATTCCCTTCTGCCATCCACCTGTTTGAGCCATTCCCCCAACAACAACAACAAAAAAAACCTCTTTCCAAAATATTACATGGAGTGTGAATTACCCTGATTTCTTTTTTCAGTGACTACTGATGAAAACAATTACTTCCATCTCTCTGCTCTTATTATTTTCTCCCAGCTCCCATTTGAGCTTTGGCCGTTGAGGGACTCCACTCATTCACTGGCTGCTCTCTTCTCTTGAGGGACTGGATTTAGTCATTTGCAAGGGGCCTGTTCTGTCTCATCTAATTCCAGTGGCCTCCTGACATCACTGAGGAGTACATCCTGATACCCTCACAATCCCAAGTGTATTAATAAGGCCATGTCTCAACAATGCTATGGTTTTTTCTCCCACATCTCATTTCCGCAGAGCCATCAGTTTCCTAACACTCCACACTCCATGAATTGATCAACATCTCAACTTTCAGTCAAGTTTTACCTCTCACTTGAGAGCCATTTTCCATAGACTGCTTCCCTTCCTGAGAGGCAGGACTGTGTCCACGATGGAGGACAGAGGACACTCAGGCTGGCCCACTCACAGGTGCCGAGCGGCCCAGGAGACTCATTCCCCTGTCACCAGTGCTGTCCCATCCCCATCTTCCCTGCACAGCTTGTGTCATGGGCTTCCAAGGTCCCTCTTGAATATGTGGAACCATGACTATTAAATCCAGGAATCAGACTTTGCTCTGTGGGATCCCCCAGTTTTTTGTTGTGAGACCGAGTCTCACACTGTACCCCAGGCTGGAGTGCAGTAGCTCAATCTTGGCTCACTGCAACCTCCGTCTCCTGGGCTCTAGCGATTCTCCTGCCTCAGACTCTTGAGTAGCTGGGACTATGGGTGTGTATCACCATGCCTGGCTAATTTTTGTATTTTTTGGTAGAGACAGGGTTTCACTGTGCTGGCCAAGCTGGTCTTGAACTCCTTACCTCAGGTGATCCACCTGCCATGACCTCCCAAAGTGCTGGGATTAGAGGCATAAGCCACTGCACCCGCCCAGATTCCCTAGTTTTAACAACAATACTTTTGGGATATTTTTCCTTCTTAGATTGCTCTTATTTTGCTAGTTAGCAAGCCTCAGGGCTCCTAAGGTACTTGGTCTTTTTTATGTGTAATAAACATCTGTTTCCTGGACTGTATACAAGTTTATTTTAAAACATTTAATCTATTTAATTTCACCCCAACTAACACTGTACAATTCTTTTTATAACTAAATAATACTGAGATTGACTATTTTGGCTTTTAATATTTAATTAAATATGGTGGATTTGTGGGGAGAAAATGTGTTCCTAAAATAAATGTGTTTATCTGTAAGGGTATGCCCATAAGGAGTACGGAAGGGAGTTAAAATTTAATTAGCACCTACTATGTGCCAGGCAAAATTTATTATAATTAGCACCTACTACGTGCTTTCATGGGTTATCTCAGAGCCACAACCATATACAAGACTTTTTTTTTTTTTTTTTTTTTTTTTTTTTTTTTTTTT